ACACACAGACAGACAGACAGACAGAGAGAGAGTGTGCCCTTGTTCCAGCCAGTCCAGGTTCAAAATTCTCATTTCCCAGCTTCCGGATATTCTAATTAAACAAACCATGCAACTTTGGTGTACCTCTCTTTTGTTTAAACAAATCATTCAGGTTTAAGAAAATCCGTGAAAAATCGGAAATCCGTGAAAAAGCATAGCATGGAAAAAGGGAACCTCTTTTGTAGTGTTCCCCTTTGGGGTTTAGATCACTATTACCAAGGGGGTGTGCTTCTGAGCGTTCCAGCCAAAAAGATGCCTCTGGGAAGCTTGAAAGCAGAACAAGACCACAGCATCAGCACCTCCTGATGGGAACTGCACTCATTGTTACCTAAGGTCCAATTACACTCATTGTAGCTAGAACAAGACCACAGCATCAGCACCTCCTGTTCCTGTTTCTTCTGGGAACTGCACTCATTGTTACCTAAGGTCCAATTACACTCATTGTAGCTAAGGCTTCCCCTTAGGTTCTTACGAAATGACTGTATTTTGGCATAATACTGGGAACTGCACTCATTGTTACCTAAGGTCCAGTTACACTCATTGTAGCTAAGGCTTCCCCTTAGGTTCTTACGAAATGGCTGTATTTTGGCATAATACTGTGGCAATCAACCCTTTGTGGCCTTTATTTCCTTCGGCTCCACACAGGTAAACATGCCCATTATTCGCTGCCACCAGGTATTCTCCTGATACCACTTCAAGTCCCACACAGGAGCTGCCACTCCAAAGGGTCATATAACTTAGGAAGCAGGGATTTTAATTAAGTATTCTTTTATTATTAAACAAATCAAAAGGTAAATCACATATGAGTTGGTTCAGGTGTTAATACTTTTAGGATCAGGTAGTCCTTTGCGTGCTTGGTTCAGGTGTTAATACTTTTAGGATCAGGTAGTCCATCACTTTGCTTTCAATTTATATCTCTCTTGTTATGCTTTTAATCAATATCTTTCAAGTCGCATTTGTGCTTGTTCAACATGTATTTTAACTTTTCAGTTTCTTCTCCTAACCCCTTTAGATCTATTCCTAAACCCTAACACTCTCTCTACATCTTCTGGTCCCTGACTCGCTCTCGCTCTCTAACTGTCCCTAACTGTCCCTTCAACTCCCTAACTGTCACTTTAGCTCCGCCCCTCCTGCTCTATCCTCAGCTCCTCCCCCTTAGCTGCTGTAATGGACAGGCAGGAATGACATCACCTTTTTGCTTTCCGCTACAATACTCTTATCATGATTTACAGTGGGATAGGTAAACCACAGCACTCCAGAAGTGATGGAACTACAGTTCCCATCAGCCCTAGCCAGCGTATGGTTAATAGTGAAGAGTCCTGGAAGTCATCATCTAACTTCCAACCTCCACTCCTGAAGGCTGCCTTTTGCCTAATCTAGAATGTGAGCTGCAAAAAATGGTGAGCTTGTATGTTTTCTCCTTTCCTCCCCTCTGCCATTGCGGCTGCAAGCCTCTGTTTCCTATTCAGGTTAAGTACAGCTGAAACCCTAAAACATGGTTATCTGAAAGATGACTTTTTTTTTAATTTAATTTATATGCCGCCCACTCTACCCAAAGGTCTCTGGGCGGCTTACAACAATTAAAATTCAATACAATAAAATTTAAAATGATTAAAATACGATTAAAATACGATTGAAATACAATTAAAATTGCCACCATCAAGACCCACAGTTAATGTTATTTCAATTAAAAGCCTTCTGGAACAGGAAGGTTTATTAAAATACAATTAAAATTGCCATCATCAGGACCCACAGTTGTTATTTCAATTAAAAGCCTTCTGGAACAGGAAGGTTTTAACCTGGCGCCGAAGTGTCATCAGTGTCGGTGCCAGACGAATTTCAGTTGGGAGGGCGTTCCATAGTCTGGGGGCAGCTGCCGAAAAGGCCCTTTGTCTACAAGCCATCCCTCTTACCTCTTTGAGGGATGGCTCTTTCAAAAGGGCCCCCTGGCTAGATCTTAACTGCCGGGTAGGCTCATATGGAAGGAGGCGGTCCTTCAAGTATCCAGGGCCCAAGCCGTTTAGGGCTTTATATGTCAAAACAAGCACTTTGAATTGGGCTCGGGCAGCAACTGGTAACCAATGTAAATTGAACAGAATTGGCTTGATGTGATCTCTAGCGGCTCCACCACTCACCAGCCGCGCAGCTCGATTCTGGACCAGTTGCAGTCGCCGGACCGTCTTCAAAGGCAGCCCCACATAGAGCGCATTGCAATAATCTATACGAGATGTTACCAGTGCGTGTGTAACTGTCATGAGACTCCGCTCGTCCAGGTAGGGCCGCAGCTGGTATAATTTCCGCAGCTGAAGGAAGGCACCCCTGGCGATCGAGTCCACCTGGGCTTCCAAAGTTAGACTGGGGTCCAGGAGCACCCCCAGGCTGCGGACCCTGTCCCTTAGGGGGAGTGTAACCCCATTCAGGGCAGGGAAATGGCCCTCCAACCTGTCCGGCGAAGCACCCACTAACAGCACTTCCCTCTTGTCTGGATTGAGTTTCAATTTATTAACCCTCATCCAGTCCATTATCAGGTCCAGACACGAGTTCAGCACAGTGAACGAGCCACTTTCACAAACTATGATTTGAACTTGATTTGAACCAAACATTTTGTCTGGGTTTAAATATCTCAGCAAAGTGTGGATAATATAAACTAGTAGCAATAGCTTCTAAGCTTCTCCTCAAACCTTGGGTGCATATGTAAGCACAAGACCCTTAATAGCTTATTTATGTAACTGTGAAGTCTGGCTTAATATTACACATCAACAAGATCAATGTAAATGAGAAATTGCTGGCATATGTGATTTGGAAGCAGTAAGGAAACTGCAGCAAAAGAAAGACAGACCAAAGAATTTCCCAATAACCTTTTCTTTCCTTCAAATAATCCCCTGATTTAACTGCATTTTGTACTCCTTTAAAATGGAGTTGAGACTTAAATCCTCACATGTCATGTTTTCACAGCCAAGGTCAAGGATTCACATCATTTCCCCCCTCACTGGCTGTGCAGTAACTGTGCAAGGCATCATAGAATAGTGACGTTGGAAGGGGCCTATAAGGCCATCAAGTCCAACCCCCTGCTCAGTGCAGGAATATAAATCAAAGGAGATCTGCCAGGTGGTTGTCTAAATTTCTCTTGAATGCCTCCAGTGTTGGAGCACTCCCCACCTCTCAAGGTAACTGGTTCCACGGCCATAATGCTGTAACAGACAGGAAGTTTTCCCTTTCACTCGAGAAGTTTTTAAAGTAAAACCACATAGCAATAGTTTTTAAAGCAAAACAGAGCAAGGAGACCAAGCAAACTGAATTGAAAGGATGGCCAGTTTTAAGCCTTGGATAGGTTGTTCCTGTCTTTCCCAACCAACAGGAAGCTTTTCTGGGCTTATGGTTTGTGCTCACAAAGACCTCTGCCTCTGAGCAGGAAAGGTGGAATCTCTCCAAGTTGTCGAGCTCCTCATTCAGGTTCTTTGTGCTGTCGAGACAGTCAATATTGACCCAGATGAGGAATTCAGGAGCATTCTTCACATCTATCGAAAACAGCCTGGAAATCACAGGTAGACTAGACCTTAGAGCAGTGATCAGGAACAGGGGTAAATTACTCCAAATGGGATAAAAATGAAAATCCTGGGGGTAATGAGGATGCGACCCTAACCCCATCCCTCCTTCTCCAACTCCTCCTCCTTTTCTACCCGGAGGGGGGTTCCCCAGCTGCCCGATTGCCCCCTTCCTGCCCACTTCTCCAGCCTGGCTGCAACCAAGCCACGGCGGATGGTGGCCAGCGACGGGCCCCAGATGGCAGCATATGGCAGCTGAGGCAGCAGTGGCGAGGCAAGCCATGATTGCGACGGGCCCCAGTTGGAGGCATACGGCAGCTGAGGCAGCAGTGGTGGGGCTAGCCATGATGGAGGGCGAGGCTGGGGCGAGTGGTCGGAGTGCCCAGGCAAGGAGAAGCCTCTCCTTTCAGTGCATGGAAAGATGGATTGTGGCAGAGGGGGGTGGGCGTGGCCACAACAGTGGCCTGGGCCAGGATCAACCTCCTGGTGCCGGCCGCTGCCGCCGCCCCACACACCATCCCTGTTCCTGGAGGAGCCCATCCGGCGGCAGTGGCACAGCTTCCTTGGGCGGCACCTCATGTCAGCCTGGCGGAGCTTCTCTCCCTCTATGCAGCAGCTGTCACGGCGCTTCGACGGCAAGGCCTGCGGGAGCCCTGATGCTGAGGCCCGATGTGGCCACGCTGGTGAGCAGCTGCTGGAGCCACTGCCTGTGCCAGAGCAGGAGGCAGTGTTGGTTGCCCCTTGGCAAGCTAGCTACCTGCTGCTATTTGATGGCCACCCAGGAGCTGCCCGCTGGCAGAGAAAGAGAGCTGCCCCCGCCAGGCCAAGGACTGAGCGCGGCTACGCCAGATGGCAGCGGCGGAGGAAGAGGCGGCTTGAGCGGCGACGCTCGACTGGCCGCACGTGACCGAGATCCTTCCTTTCAAATCAAGGGGGTAATGTCGGCATATATAATTTTTTTCGGGGATAAAAGGTTAAAAAGTTCCCTGACCCCTGCCTTACAGCAATTCCTCCGTGTAAAACTTTGCCAGTTGGCACACCAGAGGACCTCTTTCATACAAAGCATTTCAGGGCTACAAAACAGAGCGCATTACACTGCCAAACTTTCCCAGGCCTTAAACAGTCTTTATCTCACATCTTCCACATTTCACTGGAGATAAGGGCAGAAGAATAAAGAGTCGAATCTCACTACTGAGTTATCACAGAACTGAAACGGCATAAGCCTCATTAAATGAAAAGTAAGATATGACATCATTTCCCCTCATTATTTTGTTTTTTAATAAGAGTGAATTAATGTAACATGTTTTCCCCAATATGTTGTTTCCAGACTGTGTGCTAGAAGGAATATCTGACAGGAAAGCTCATAATAACCTTTATGTAATGTACAGTTAAGATCTAAGTAACACATGGCAACTGGGAGAGTATTTTTATTTGAACAATGTATGGGAAAGAAAAAACGTAATTGCATTTTGAAAATTATATAGAACGCTTTTTCGATTTACAGGTCTACAGCACAAACATATCATCCCTATTGAAGGTAGGCTTTCAGGCAGATGTTAGTCCACAGACCCATGAGATTCCTCTATCCATCATACTTCTACCTACCCTGTTCTTCCTTGGTTTAACCACATCTGACCTATAACCATTCAATAGGGCTCTGTGAAAAACAGCTACACATACAATAAAGTAGCAAAGTGAAAAAAATCCTCTGTATCTATACAAGATATCATTGCTTTCTTGCAGTTAATATTTCCCAGGATTTTTCAGATAATTTTTTTTTACGTTTTTGCTATATGTATGATTCAGGAAACGTAAGGGGCATTTAATTGCCAGGAGTGATGATTATTATTGTTACCATTTATATACAGGGTGGGCAACTTGTGGCTCTAAAGGTGTTTTGGGAAGGGGCTCTGATCATGCTCAATTACTATCTGAGCTTGCTAGAGATGTCTAACAACACCTAGACATTCATAAGTTGACCTACAACTTGTGTACTTTGTTTGCAGAGTCAAATAAATGAAATGAAGTTCTTACAAGGAAAGTGTCTGCTATGTAGGTTTTGATGGAGGAAGACAGAAAAAACAGAAAATAGGGAAGCATGTGTATGAGTATCATCTCTATGCAAGTGAATCCCACCCCTAAGTAACCCAGATATTCTTAGACTACAACGCCCAAAAATCCTGTCCAGGTCAGCTAGTGGTAAAGACTTCTGGGCGTTTTATTCCAAGAACATATGGAGAATCCAAGGTTGGAAACCACTGCTCTAGGCATACTTAGGTTTAATTTCTGGGTGGAGTGACAGCTAGAGAATTAAGCAAGCCCTGGGCTGAATGGGATCTCAAGGTATTCCTTTTAAAAAGAAATATGTGGAAGCCTGAAAGGGTAGCCCCTAATAACCTGTACTCTGCTAATGATAAGCACCCTTCGAGGTCCTGGGTGTCATTTTGATAATCTTGTGTAATTTAGGACGGGGCTGGGAACCACTGCAGTACGAGCTTTCTAAACAAACAATTACACACACCAAGTCCAGATCATCTTGGTTTGTTTGTATGTTGACTAAACAATCACAGAATTGGCTATTATTGCCGTTAAGACAGTTAATTAAGCTAAAGGTCACAAGAAAGATGCTTGATCCACATACTCACTGCCTTTCCAATCTCTGTAAGAGAGTCTTTCTACAGTTATCTGCCCAAGCCCCTTTCCATTCTGGCTGAGGGAAGGGAGGTCAATGGGCAGGAAGCCGACTCAAGGCAGCAGTCCTGGAGACCTCACGATAAGCATTGCGCAGCAGCACGTAAGGGAAGCAGGTCTCCAGCATGTCAATGGTCAAGAAGGACGACTCCTCCACAAGCTGAAAGAAACAAACAGAAGGAGGTATTGAGCGCTGAGTAAGTGTTCTTTGTTGCCTGCCAAACATACAGGCCAGGTGTGAAAAGAACCAAACTCCGCACCCAGGTAAATTCTGCCTAGAGATCTATGATGCTTCCTCACACCCACACCCACCCAAGGAAATAGGGAGATATTTGAAAGAGGGATTACTTCATATAAGGGAGATATTTGAAAGAGGGATTACTTCACATAGTGCTCTACTTGGGTCTGCCTTTGGAAAGTGTTGGGAAACTTCAGCGTGTCCAAAACACTGCAGCCACGGTGTTAACAGAGGCTGCTTACATACTCCCCCTGTTACAGCAGCTCCACTGGCTGTACATCCATTTCTGGGCACAATCCAAAGTGCTAGTTCAAGCCCTAAACAGCTTGGACCCCAGCTACTTAAAGCACAATCCAAAGTGCTAGTTCAAGCCCTAAGCAGCTTGGACACCAGCTACTTAAAGGAGGGTGCCTCCCATTATGAGCCTGCTTGAGTGTAAATATAATCTGGAGTGCCTTTTCTCTTGATCCTACTGCCTTCATAGGTGCTCTTGGTGAGGACACAGGACGGGGCCTTCTCTGTGACTGCACTCAGATTGTAGAACTCCCTCCCACAGGAGACCAGACTGGCCCCATCTTTGCTGCCTTTCCACAAGCAACCAAGCTCTTTCTCAGTGACTGGCTGTCTGAGAGGGTGTGTGTTTTTTTTTTTTTTAGGATTAAAGGATTTTTTTAAAGTGGATTATTGCTTTTACTGCGCTTTTAGTATTGATTTAATTTACTGTGTATTATAATATATAATATTTGTTCAGTTCTTTTAAAATATTTGCATACTGCTCTTACTGTTTTTTAGTTTGGGCCCTATTTTAAGGAAAAAGGTGGGCTAAAATATTTTAAATAAATAATAACTACAATATAGGCACAATTCTCTATGCTTCTATTGAACAGGTGTATCAGGCTTTAAAATACAGTTTCAAAAACTTGCAAAACTTGTTTGGTCTAAATGACAGCATATAAGGTACATAACTGGGATTGAGGTCTGCCTCATCTGTCTTCAAAACTGCTGCATATCTTAACTGGTTTAGCTGGGTTGTGAACTAGATTGCTCATCTTTGTGACAATGCTACGGGTTCAAGAATATATCTCCACCCTGGCCTGGCTGGCCTTTTTTGTGAAGATTTCCAGAGAAGGGATGCTAAAAACTCCTGGGGCAATTCAGCACTGCAAAGGAGACATAAAGAGCGCCTTGTGTGTGCCTTTTTCCACCCCGCACAGGATCAGGACTGTGGATCTCCAGTCCAACCCTGTTTGCAGCATGGCTTCGCTCTCAGCAAGAACAGCAGCAGCTGCTTGCGAGCTTGTACTGTGAATAAACCCAGAGGCAAAAGGTTCAGGATAGGGGGTGATGGTGTCCCAGGAGGGGCTAATTCCACTCCTTCAACTGGGCCAGCAACCAGATGCGATGCTAGGGTGCCCGTGTCTCGTAGGCACACGCTCCAGATCGAAACATTTGCATTTAAATTGCTTTGCTAGCAAAAGCTGTTCGCCCCGGTGAATATCAATCCCACCCAGGAACCCAGGCCTGCTATAGCCAGGCCGTCTCCTCTCATCAGTAGAAGAATCAATATCCATCTATTGCTGCCATGGGAGCCCCTAATGGAGACGCATCACCCAGAAGGCAGTGATATGCAGCCGCCGCCGCTGCTGCCTTTCCACTCCTAGGGCAGCTCTCTCTACCAGGCTGGGAAGCACCGAAACGGATGGCAGGCAAGGATGCTTATCCTCCAGGTTAGTGCAATCCACACAGCCTTTCATTGGGACCGGGATACTCCAGGAGAGCCAGTCCCAACACACCCTAGGCCCTGTGCAATGAAACCATAGACCTATTCCTCCGTGGTCTCCTTCTTCTACATCTTCTGCCCAAGATCCCAAAGCTTCTGCACTTATCCCCTCCTTCTCAGTCCCCCATGCCATGCAGCTTGGCCCACTGCTTGAGCGGTGCCAACTTCTCTCTTCATCTGGCGCCTTCTATAACATGTATCTCACCTCTGCCCCTTATCCTCCCTTTCTGTGCCCATCCCTCCACAGGGCCGGCTTGCCTCCTCCTTCTCACTGTAGGGCCTGAGTGTCAGGGTGAAAGGGGCCACTGCAGAGCATTCACTGCCACACCTAACAAGCGGAGTCAGTTATACCTATAGCTAGGGGTCACATGTGCCCATAAGCTGTTTCTATATACTTAGGGGCTCCAGACTATTCTGTGCCACCACCCAAAAAAGGGAGGGTGAAAATATGTCCAGATGCAACAACTTTATAGTGGAGTGCAAAACCGTGCAAATATCCATTTTTTTATTTTTAATGTTTTTGAGGGGGCTTGAAAGCAGTAGGCTCTTCAAAGCTACCCATCCTTGACCTATGGTGTAGTGCCTCTCTATTTCCCCATCATATTCCCTGGGCATTTATTTAGTCTTTTAGAAGTAATTTTGTGAGCTTCGCTAGAAGAAAGCAGGAAACAGGAGGGAAATAACAGAACATCGCACCAAGGGAGATGTCATGTTCCATCCGGATGGTTATAAGCCGAGGGTGTGTTATGAGCTGTGTGGATAAGCAGCCCATTATGGGGCTTCCCCATGTGAGACACAGCAACAGATTGGAAGTTTAGGGACCAAAGTCAACCTAAGTAGTCCCAAACATCTGTTCAGATGTTTTAAGTTTTTCCTTGCGAATGTCGGATAATTGAAAATGTTTTAAACATTCTTCCCAGCGTATGCCTATATTTTGCCCTTATATCACATGTCCTCCACAGAACCCTTGGAAAAGTGAGAAAAAAAATACAAAGCACTCCCCACTCCTGGCCCCCTGAAAGCCATACAGAACCTCAGCAAGCCCAGATCTGCTATTTCAACCTAGAGCTAGCCCCTCCACACAATTTGTCAAAGGTTGCCGGGAGAATTGTCTGCTGCTTCTGGTCCCATTTGTACATCCCAGTGACTCCCTGCTGTCCAATAAAATAGCTTTGATGAAGAAAATGGCTCTCTTTTACCCCTCAAGGCAGCTGAGGGTGAAGGAGATGAGAAGAGAACTCATTCTAGGTGGCCTTCAGCCCTCTGTTTATCACTGAGATGACAGATTTGCAGCCACCAACATTTAACGAAGTGTTTGCCTTTTCTCGAGTTTAAAATGGCTTGCCTACCTTCAGGTTGGGTTTTTCCTAAAGTCACCTGAATTTTTATGTACTTATCTTCATCGATTTCATATTTTTTTTAAAGGAAAGATTTTGATTGACGTGAAAAATTGCTTGGGGATAAAGGTGCAGCTGGCTTTTTTGAAACATAACTACACATCAAATTTCTGCTTGAAAGTGATACTCTAACCAAGCCTCTCCTCTTATAGCAGAAGCCAGGAACGTGTGGCACTCTTAATGTTGTGGGAACTGCATCTCCCACCAGCCGTAGCCAAGGTGGAACAATGATGGAAGCTGAAGTCCATCAACATCTCGAAGGCCTGATGTCCCCTCACACACACTCCATCTCAGAAGTTCCCACTTCTGTCTGTACTTGCACTTACTTGCTCTAAGTGCACGTAAGTGCAAGGCTGTCATTCATCATTAGCGCCTCATTGCAAGAGAAACTCCCATTCCAACCCCTAACCTGGTGTTAACACTCACCAAGTTTATGAGCAGTGAGAGGGATTCCCTGTTCTTGGTTTTCATCCGATCAGGTTCTTGCCCCATATGCAGGAGGCTAATGGAGGCCAGCTAGGAAGACAGACAAAAGAATGCCAGTTCCCCTGTGGTCAACAGAAGTGAGCGCAGAGAGATTTTCCCAGGGCAATTAATCAGAGTTTGGGTTACAGGCTGAAAAAGCTCACAGGTCAAGTTGGAAAAGCAATTAGGCTTTGTGGAACGGAGACTTCAGTGGAAAGGTGTTCAGAAATGAACAAAGGAATATAAAATCCAGATCAAGAGAGAAACGAATGTTCTTAAAGTCAAGCTACACGTCACATACACCTGCAGGCAGCTTGGCCTCATTTTTTCGCAAAAATTAAAAGCCTCCTAAATAGGAAACCAGCAGGGTGGGAATGAGGCATTGAACCCTTGGACTGCTTTCCTTCACTCCCCACCCCCACTGCCTCCCTGCCAACTCAGTTTTCATTCCCTGCCCCTCTTTTATGGAAAAAGGGAAGATAATTTGAGAAATAGTAGCTGAGGCAGGCTTCTGTACATCCCTTGCCCCTAGTGGACCACTATAAACTAAAGCACCCTTTGCGAATATATTAAAGCACCCTACTCGTGTTGATTGCTTGAAGAGGAAGAAAGCAAATGATGTGGTAAAGCTGTCTAGAGCTTAAGTAAAGAAGTTCAGGTTGCTGTTGCTACATTAGTCAAGAGCCTATACATCCTTATGCCAATGTTTAAACCAGCTCATGTTTCTAAATGGCTACTAGATGGAACAGTCATAAATATCCCAATATCCTGGCTAGCAACCATTTAATTCAGCCACCAGAAGTTAATGCTGTATCCCTCAGGAAGGAAGGAAGGAAGGAAGATTGCTAGTCTTCTGATAGGCTAGTCGTCTATGCTTTCACTCTGGCCCTGGTGAAATGATGTCCTCTCCTTCATTGCTGACACGAAAATGCAAGCTTACTCTGCCACCATTTTGATGTCTGTCATGGAAAAAAAGAGACACCCTTTGCCTGCATCAAGCACACTGACACAGGAAGATTGAAAATTTCCAGCCCTCTTCCACTAGCCCTCATGCCTGTCTGCACTAAATTCTTGGTTGCCTACAGCTACAAGATTAATTGCGAAATACAAGACTCTGTGATCCATTTCAGCAGAGCTGAAAATCAGCAGTTAACCGTGCCAACCAAAAGAAGGTCAAAGTATACGCTCATTTCAAGGATACAACTGAAATAATAATAATGGCTTTCCTTCTTTTAAGCAATGAACATTTTTAAAAAATCTTAATGTAAACTAAAAAGAAATTGTTGCATTTTTCTTCCCTAGGATGCTCATTAAAAGCATCTTTCCTATGTGCAATATGTAAATTTAATCAGTTTCATTAAAAGCTAAGACATCTTAAATGGCTGACAGTCTCAGTAGGAACCAATTTATACTCTGAGGCAATTTGTGAAAGGAACATCACTTCCAGGTAGGGCAGAGATGAGAAACCTGTGATCTTCCAGACAGTATTGCAGTACAACTCCTGTTACTCATAACCATTTTCAGCTATGATGAAGGTTGCCATAAATTTTAGACCAGCAACATCTTGCGGGAATGGGTTTTTTGGATTAACATAAGGGGGGGAGGGAAGCATAGAAGATACTCCTTTCTCCTTTTCATATTCTTTTGTCTATGCCCCAAAAAGAGTCTCTGAAACATGAATAATTCATATTAAAAAAGAACATGGAAGTTTCATGTTTTTGTGTGTCTCTGTTTCAGTTAACCCTTCCTTTTACTCTTTGTCTGTCAAATGACCCAAGAAATTTTTCATTCACTTTTTCATCAATTTTTCAACAGCCAGCCAGAATGTTCAAGAGGGGGAAACAGAAATTTTGTATCTGTAAAAAGGGCCTGGATTTGTGGGATCTTTGTGTGTTGCTGAGCTCAGTTCTAGTGCCCCACACCTTAGATTACTGCCTGCCTGCTGGCCTGTGCCTACATCTTTGACCTTTCCTCCCTTTTTTGCCATTTTTCTTGATTTTTGTGGGGTTCTCACCCACTTCTTTGGATTATTTTTGCTACTACCACCTGTGCCAGCATGCCTCTTTGTGATTTTTTTAATTATCTTTTCCCCTGATCTCTTTGGGGACTTTTGATCTCTCCACCCCTCCCCTTCTTTCCTTATTTTTGCCACTGTGTGACCCTGGTCTGCTTGCTGGACTCAAAGAACAGAAAAGAAAACATCAATCAGTAGAAGAGAGATAAATCTCCACATATAATAGTAGTTTTGGTTTGTGGGCAGGGCTTTTATTTGCCTTTATTTCCTTGCTTGCTTTTCTTGACATTCAAGAGAGGGTGTTCTGTGTGTTTTGTTTTGCTATTTCACCCCCTGTGTATGTGTTAGGGCAATGCTTTCCCTGTCTGATTGAGAGTTCAAAATTATTTAAATTGTTTGGTTAATTTACTAAACATGTATTCTGTAAAAAGCATATATTTTGGTAGTTATGATCATGATTTTCCCCCTTTAGCAACTGTTGCTTGCTTTTGGAGTTGATTGATTCTCTCTTGCCTTGCCCCTGCTATTTTGGAGTACTTTTTAAATGTTATTTATGGCTTTTGGACTAGTGCCAGTAAATGCAAAGTGGAATGACCCAAAAGTGGGTCCATTTGCATAGGTCCATTTGTTTAAAACATGCATAGGTCCATTTGTTTAAAACAAATGGACCTATGCATGAAAAACATGAAAATGAAAAAAAACACCATCCCAAAAGAACCCAAAACCAGAAAAGGGGGGGGACTTTTCACCATGCACATCTCTAACATCTGGAGAGCCATGGTTTGCCCAGCCTGAGGTAGAGGTTTCCACACTTGTTCTGGCAATTCTCCTGTACCTTTAACGCAGCGTTCCCCAAACCCCGGTCTGCGGCCCTGTGCCAGTCCGTGGTGTGGGCCAGATCAGGCCACCAAGAGAGACCTCCCGTTGCTCCCATGTGCCACCCATTTGTGCCTACACACGCGCTCTGGTATGCCTGCACAAGCGCTGAGCTGCAATTTGTGCATGTGCGGGGGCACGTACAAGCGCATGCTGCCATTGGCACATGTGCACGGGCTCTCATGTGCATGCGCAAATGGCAGTGCATGCTCGTGCAGGCCCATGCGCAAATGCCAGGGTGGCGGCCATGTGGGTGGATGCATGCCCGTGCAAGAGCATGCATGCACTTGTTTGCGCATGTGCGTAGGATGCCCCGCCTTTCCCAGCCAGTCCGTGGACCAGAAAATGTTGGGGAACACTGCTTTAACAGATACATAGGCAGAAATTCAACTAGCAAAGTATTTTCTATTGCTGTTTCTTCATACATTGGGAAAAGCCTCACTAGCATTGTCCTGAATCCATTTGGCAGCCTGACTAGAGCAGACCCACTGAATCAGTGCGACTCACAGTTTAGCAACAAAGTCTATGAGTCTTCTCTAACTGGGACGAGCATTTGGAGTTAGGCCTTAATTTTTGCCTCCTGCTTGACAGAGATGCAATGGCCATGCCAGCCCAGCAGCCCAACTTCCCTATGATCACCATAGCCCTGTTCAGGCATTATAAATGCTGATTTTGTGAGCCCTGCCCTCTTCCTTGTATCGAGGATGGGGAAAACTCCTGCTAATGTACAGTCTCCTCATATAAGCAGGAATTTCTACCCGTCAGGCTCAGCACTGAAAGGGGGTAGAACAGGATGATGAAAAAGGGCAGGGCTAGGAGTTCCCTGCTAAGTGTGTTCAAAGAATCAGCATTTTTAACACCTGGATACGGCTATCTTCTCAACAAGGAGCAGCATGGGAGTGTTCACCCAGCATAAACAGCAGCGGGAACGCAAGCTGTCACACCATCTAATCAACAGATAAATCATCCTGACTCCCGTAGGCCAGAAATAAGAAAGTGATCATACTTAGTGCTGCTTCTATCCATCATCACTCACAGCCGGCAGGATTGACTCTTCTTACAGTGCCAGCCAGCCGTGGGACAATACAGTCATATGACAGGTGAACAGCCTGGAATATTAGACACAAAGAAAGCCAAAGTTGGGGAAATTAGGGGGGCTGCATCAGGAGACTGGAAACTAAGCCCTGTGAGGAAACACTGAAAGAACTGGTCATATTTATCTTTGAGAAAAGAAGACTGAGGGGAGATATGCTAGCACTTTTCATATACTTGCAAGGCAGTCGTACGGAGGAGGGGCAGGATCTGTTCTTGATCATCCCAGAGTGCAGGTCATGTAATAATGGCCACAAGTTGCAGGAAGCCAGATTCTGGTTGAATATCTGGAAAAACTTAATTATTAGAGCAGTACAACAATGGAACCCATTACCTCAGGAGGTGGTGAGTGTTCCAACACTGGAGGTATTCAAGAGAAAAGTAGACAACCATAGAATCATAGAAAAGTGAAGTTGGAAGGTGCCTACAACACGATCAAGTCCAACCCCCTGTTTAGTGCAGGAATACAATCAAAGCATATTTGCCAAGTGATTCTCTAAGCTTTTCTTGAATGCCTCCAGCGCTGGAGCACTCACCAACTCCCAAGGTAACTGGTCCCACTGTCATACCACTCTAACAGTTAGGAGGTTTTTCCTGGTATTCAACTGAAATCTGGCTTCCCTTAACTTGACACAATTGCTGCATGTCCTGTACTCTGGGATGATTGAGAACAGATCCTTCCCCTCCTCTGTATGACAGCCTTTCAAATATTTCAGAAGTGCTATCATATCACCCCTCAGTCTTCTTTTCTCAAGGCTAAACATGCCCAATTCTTTCAGCCTTTCCTTATAAGGCTTGGATTCCAGGCTCCTGATCATCCTTGTCGCCTTCCTCTGAACTTGTTCCAATTTGTTAGCACCCTTCTTGAAGTGTGGTGTCCAGAACATGAAACAATATTCAAGGTGAGGCCTACCCAGTGCTGAATAGAAGGAGACTAGCACCTTGCAGGATTTGGAACCTATACTTCTATTAATGCAGCCTGAAATAGCATTTGCCTTTTTTGTAGCCACATCACACTGTTGGCTCACATTTAGCTTGTGTATCCCCCAACGCTTGATCTATCCAGCCCATACCTAATTAGTTTGCTAATCAGAATATCATGGGACACTTTGTCATAAGCTTTGCTGAAGTCAGATATACTCTGTCTACAGCATTCCCTCTATGAGGGAGATGACCTGATCAAAAACGAGATCAAATTAGTTTGGCAGGATTTGTTCTTGACAAATCCGTGTTGGCTTCTAGTTATTACTGCATTGTTTTCTAGGTGCTCGCGCATTGACCGCTTTACAATCTGTTCCACAATTTTGCCTGGGATTGATGTCAGGCTGACTGGCCTGCAGTTCCCACGTTCTTCTTTTTTGCCCTATTGGAAGATAGGGACAACATTAGCCCTTCTCCAATCCTCTGGCACCTCACCTATTTCCGATGATTTCTAGAAAAGAATGGATAGCGGTTCTGAGAGTTCTTCAGCCAGTACTCGCGGATGCAATTCATCCAGCCCTGGAGATTTGAACTCGTTCAAGGTGGTAAGATATTTCTTGACTATTTGTTTATCAGACTGTCAGACCTGATTTGATTTTGATTCCTGCACTGAGCAGGCAGTTGGATTCGACGGCCTTATGGACTCCTTCCAACTCAATTATTCTCTGATTTTATGAAATTACTTTTTAATACTACAATTGTCAGAATATTCTAAGTAGCTTGGGCACTGGCCATACTGGGATAATCTGGGAGCCATAGAGCAAAACAGCTACTTCTCCCATCTCTGGAGGATTTGAGTTCAGATGATTTGCAAGGTCTTGGAATCTTATTTCCAAGAGAGCCGGCAGGGAGTTAAAAATCATAGAAAGCCCAGCAGGAAATGCCACTTGGTTCCATCTCTGCCATCTCCATGTTCCCGAGAACTCAGCTTGTATTGTCACTTGCCTAAATAAATTATCAATGAGTAATTTGATCAAACCTGTACATTCTCTGCCCTCTCTTCCACCAAGAACACTTCGGACTTCAGGAGTTCTCTTGGTGGTTAATAGGAGGTGGAGTTTTAATATTGAGATACACCAACTCTTCCTTCCAAGGATCAGAAAGAAGTAGGTTTTTGAATCTGCTCCGCTGCTGTTTTCAAAGGAGGTTTTGGATGAGCCAAAGAAGAAGGGGTAGTCCTTGTGACAAAAAGACTCTGTTGAAAACAGAGACAACACTACAGGCTCTTCAGTGGAATTAACAGACAGAGAAAAGGTTGATTCAGAACTCTTACAGATGAACCAACACTGGAGTTCAAATAAAGACAGAGTCAAAGCTAGCCCTATTGTTGGAGAAAGGGAAACAACCATCTCAGGCAGCATATGGGAGTGGGGGGCAATTGTGGCAGTCTCTGAGCTATTCCTCCTGAATTGAGTTCTTCCCCTCTCTTAAAAGACAGAGCACAGCAGAGCACACAGTCTGTGCTGCACTGTCTATGGGAGCCTGAGGCTTTTAGATGCAGTAGACAATGGCATCCCATCATTGCTGTTGAAAAAAAAAGATTCATAATATGTAGAATTTGTGTGTGTGTGTGTGTGCGTGCGTGCACGCGTGTGCTTGATTGTGTCCTTTGCTTCAGGCAGCAAATTCTTAAGGGTGTGCCCTGACTTCTAGTATAAGAAGGACCCAACCCAATTTCCATTCAGAAAGCAAGTGATAATGGGATATGGGAACACTAGTTTCTTAAGAAAGCTCTCAATGTGCAACAGCATGGCAGTGCATTTTCTGCCTCAACCCAACAATCAGACACCTACGTAGCTTTCATTAATGCTGCCCACGTATTTAACAAAATACAATAATGAAAAATCAAAGGACCTGGGAATGGTCCACCACCTAGTTCTCCACATACTGTAAATTTATCTTAGCCTTTCTGCAGCCAATGAAAGAGAGGGTTCTTTCCCAGTAAACCATTTTTCCTCACGAGCAAGGAAAAAATCCAGTTTTCTGTAAAATAGACCCACACAGTGAAAGCAAAAAAAAAAGGGGGGGGGAATAGAGGAAATAAGGATGGTATTGCAAAGGCATTGGAAAAGGCAGCAACGTGTAGGTAGGAAGAGTGAAGATTTTTCTGCAGTCCCCCCCCACCCCACATCTAATGTCTTTTGCTGAATAGTAGAACAGAGAAAGACATTCACTGAAACGATCAACTGTTTTGAAAGGCAGCACCCTCCAGATGTGTTAGATTACAACCTCTCCCCTCGCCCCAATTTCCTAGCCAACAGAATCAATGCCCACAATGGCTGGAAATGACGAAAACTATACAATCCCAAGACCTCTGGAAGGCTATCTTGTGTATGGGTGTCCAAAACAGTCCTCTTACCAAAAAAAACCAAACCAAAAAAAAAACCCACACACAACCCTATTTGGGGAGTGGAAACAGGCAAGTTGCCTCTGTAAAGATTTTCCCATATGTTATCACAGAGCACCAGGATACGATTTAAAGTCTAGTAACAAGAGAGAAGGGCCTGAATAAAAGACATCTTTTGATCTGATGTTGAAGTTCAACCTCTGAAGAGATGGGATTAAGGCTTCCATCCTAAACATACTAATGAGGGAGCAAGTCTCGTTAGAGGCAATGAAGCTCACTTTCAGTAAATACTTGAAAACTAGGTCATAGAAGTAGAAAAATAATAATAAGCAAAAGATGGTTAACAATGGCTGACTCCTGTTGCTTAGCATACTAAATTGCAGAAAAGTTTAAATTACCAAGGATTTGGTGAGTCAACTCTTCCATAATTTCCATTCATTCAATGAGCCTACCCTAGTTGTGAATTATTGTACCATAGTAGAGTAAGACCCCCCCATATCTGCAAGGGATTAGTTCCAACCCTCATGCGGATGGTGGGAAAAAAACTGATTATAGAAATGCTATTTTAATAGCGAATACAATACATAGCATGGTCTGGCTCCCTCTAGTGGCTAGTCCTGGTAACTTTGTCTCTAGAAATAGATATTCCTAGGATTTTTTAAAATATTTTTAATATTTTCAGACCATGGATAAGTGAATCAGTGGATACTGATCCCATAGGCCCCATTATAAGTTGAACCTAGAGTAGCCCAATTTGAATAAAGTAGGCAACCCAGGAGTTGGTGTTGTCAGGAATGAAGGAGAAGGCACCTTTTACTGAGCCATATAGTGCATAAACTGTAGCACTACAGCAAAAACTCTGCGCACAACCTGTGTTTGATCCCAGCAGATTCAGGTAGCTGGCTTAAGCATGACTCAGCCTTCTATCCTTCCAAGGTCAGTATATCAAGTACCCAGCTCATGGATGCGAGAGGATGTATACCCTGCATCATCAAACTGTAAACCATCCAGAGAGTGCTTTAAGCACTATGGGGTGAGATATAAGCAGCACATTTTGCTTTGCTTTTAACTGTGATTCAGGAGCATTTGTGTTCAATGTTAAAAGAACTTCCTATGCATTACCACAGTAGCCCATTCAACAGCCCTGTATACTATTCCTGCAACATCATAACCACCTCTAGCGCCACTCTCATATTTGCAAATGCTGAGCCTTATCTAAGGGTTGCTAAGGCTGCAAGCTTGTAACCATGTATGTAAGAAAAATCATCCTTGGATTCAATGGGACTTCTGTTGGCTTTCCTTACCACCAGGAATTCCTTGAGGTGAGTCTCAATGTTCTTATTGTAGATCGTGAAGAGGGCAGCGGACACCTGGATGATGGCTTTGGCTAGGCAGTGGATGTTATTGCTGTACCCTACAGAGACGGGAAGGGATCTTAATTCCAAAACATTGCCAACCAGCTTTCCCAACTGGGTGCCTGCTGCATGTGTTGGACTACAACCCCCATCATCGTCAACCCATACAGCCATTGAACCTCTGGTCAAGAAAAACTTGACTTTATTTATCTGTGAAGGAATTCTGACAGGGGCACAAAAATCTGGGTGTTGAGTCATCACTGGGTTCGCTTTCCCCTATAAAACAACCGGACTCTGAAATTGTTAATTTGTTGATGAAGTCTCCCTGAGGTAAACCTGAGCTCTGGTGCCTTTTGTCTAAGAACTTTCTGAAAGGGCGACATTCTCGGCGGAAATTCACAAGGGTGCCAATTGCTTCCCCTTCTTCTATGCTCTTGTCTCAGTCCAACTGACCCCTTACCACTGATCTTCCTGAAGGAAGAGTCGGACATGCTTTAAGGCAACATTTTACAAACCCTTCCCCAGTCATTGAGACCATTTTTAGTTTGGCAGAAAGACCATGATTGGTTCAGGGTCAGCGAGTGAAGTTCAAGGACTGCATGGAGATTTGAACTCAGGCCTGTCTGGCTTTATTCAGACAATGTAGCCACAATACCATGATGGTTCTCACTTAAATAGGAGAAGACCAACTATAGTCAGTTGTGTACCTTCATCTGTAGATCTTCATCCCAAATGCTGAATAGTGAGGTCAAAAGAGACTTCCAGAGAAATTTGTCTTCCCTGACCTCAACAAGTTTTCTTCAACATATTCTGTTTTATTATGTGTGACTCCAGAATTAGGCACGCCAAGGAAGCCATGTTTACATTCCTGGGATAATTGCAATGATTACTGTGCTTTTCATTTTAACACATTTTCACAATTACACTTTTTCCCCCTGCCTCTTGGAGGAACATTCCCTCTGGAAAAAGATTTCTCTAAATATATCCTTTGTTCCTCAGGGACAGATTCAATTTCTGAGATGTTCTTTGGGGCCACGTATCAATGACGGGTGGCAAAACGGAAGGATGAGTATCTTTCAGTTAGAGATTCTATAAGCCTTAGTAGAGGCATTTCAACCTTTTATGATGGGAGCAAACCCCTGTTTTCAAAATCTGGGTGATCATCAAACCATGATGATCTAAGGAAAGGGGCATGGCCTTATAAGGGGACCTTGGTGGGGCCAGATTCAGCCTGAGGTTGCTCACCCCTAGAATATATCTTAAGAATTCTAAGCTTAGAAAGTGCTAAGCTAGAAGTGACCACTGCCTGCAGTCAATATGATTAACCCTTAGCAAGCATCGCTCCTTTTCCAAGTCCGTGGGTCAGTATAGCAGGTTCCGGGGGGGGACACGGAGGCAGAGCTGCTCCTTCTTTGCTTACCGTCTACATCCGTTGCGTAAACGGAGGAAGGGTCGTTGGCCAGGACTGGCAGAGACACCGCTACAAAGACCAGCAGCAGGCAGGCAGCCTTGTAGTCCTCCTCTGGGGAAGAACTGTCTGTGAGGGAGGCAAGAGAAACGATGTTGAGCAAGAGATTTCAGTTATAAGCCCGATTTACACTGTCAGTTCCTTTTCTTTTCTTTACCTTGGCGACTCGACAGGCTTGCCCAAAAAAGGGGGGGGGAGGGGAAAAGGGAATTAATTTGGGCTTTTTTTTAAAAAAAAAAAGGAACCTGTGGCAACTGTGACAGGGCAGTAAATTATCTGATGGATGGAGCTGGTGAGCTGGAAAAAAAATAACTTGACACTGCTTGGTTTTGCTTGAAAGGGGTGCTCTGTAGAAGAATAAACAAAAAGAGTAAAAGCTCACCACTGTCTGCTACTCCTGAACAGGGCTTCCCAACCTTGAATCCCCAGATGTTTTTAGATTACAACTCCCAGAAATCCTGGCCAGCACAACTAGTCCAACAACACCTGAAGAGCCAAGGTTGGGAACCACTGCCTTAGCATGAGAGGAAAGCCTTCCCAGAGGGCCTCCATGGATAATGGCCCATAATTCCTCCTACTGTGTGTGGGGTGTGTGTGGGGTGTGTTTGTGTATACTAGAAAATGTGTCTCTCTATGTGTGCACGCATCAGCTTTCCTCAACCCACTACCCTCTATTTTTATTTATCTTTATTTAAAATATTTCCACTCCACCTTTCTCCTTAAAAGAACACAATGCAGCTTACATCATTAAAAGACAATATTAAAGCTAAAAACAGTGAGTATACAAATACAGAAAAGGATCAAGCAAATACCATATTAAGAAATATAAGCAGCCCTATAATACATTCAAAGCAATAAGGTACAACAATCCATTCAAAAAAATCCCACTCAGGCAGCCAGTCACTGAGGGAAAGCTTGCCTGAAGAGAAAGGTCTTTGCCTGC